AGAGAACTAAACACATAGAGGTTGACTATCACTTTGTTAGAGAGAAGGTGCTGAGTGGAGTGATAGACACTGCATATGTCAACACAGGGAACCAGTGGGCAGATTTGTTTACTAAAGGRTTGAGTCGGGGKAGARTGGACTACATATRTAACAAGCTGGGATTATATGATATATACTCTCCAGCTTGAGGGGGAGTGTTAGTGTCGATTTATGTAGGGGTAATTCTGTCATTGTGCTTGTGTTTAGGTGCTGATGTGTAAGTTTATGTTAGATTTAATGTCCCTAACTTAAGTAGGGGCACATATGTGACTTTTCCACATTATTTTAGTAATATAAAATACATCTGGCCGAATGGGAGAGTGAACTTTTCTCTCATTCGAACCAGAATTTTTTCTCCTTGTTTCTCTTCTGCTCTTCTCTTTTCTCTCTTTCTCTCCTCTCTTCTCTCTCATTCTAACAGGCAGACCGAACACTAACAGAAAGGAAGGGAGGTAGAACCCAGCAGATGTGTTCTGTGTGACAGCAGTTCTGATAATTCTTTTTTCTATTTCGTCTAGTACCTTATTGGGTAGGTCTATTATCTGTTTCAGTTTGTTTAATGAATTGCTTTACCTTTTTCTCAAAAAAAAAAGCCTGTTTTGTATTTTTGGTACATTATACTTTTCTGCATGATTATTTCATAATTTTAGAGATTGGTATTGCAGAGAAAAATAAATGATTCTTGCAGTGTCTGCATTCATTTATAGGGGTTTTAAGTGATTCAACTAGTAAAGAAGGGTTCTGTCAATTTGGTCTGTTTCTGTTACCAAAGGATGAAGCATGCTTGAGGTGCTGAAGAGGTGCCTCAATTTCAATTCTAGATGAGCCACCCACCCTAACAATGATATAAAAAGTACTGTTACCCTGAAGGTCTGTGAAAACTTCTGGCAATCCTTGACAGACATGGGCTACCAGTTGAACAAACAACGATTATTAAATTTGTAATACCATCATGGGAAGTGTTATGCAACTTAATAATTTGCTGCATTATGAGTAAATGATCTAGAAATAAAGAACAAGATCAAATTAACTTCAAAATTCATGTTGTAGAATGTAAGTAATTTTCAAAAAACACCTTATGGAGGGGTCAACAACTGAATTATTTCTGCATAATGAGTGACCGATTAGATAACTAATCCTTTACACTTGAACCAATTGAACTGCTTTCAAAGATCTGTACTTAGCAATCCATTGGGACCATAGTTTTCAAGGCTCCAAGGCGAAGTTAGGTGATAAGGGAGTGCCTTGTTGCCTAGTCGCCTAGGCAGGCATCTAGGTGTCGCCTAGGTGATGAGTTCTTTTTAAAATAAAAAAAGCATAAATCCTAGGGTAGATCCCTAGGTTTCATAGTAACAAGTATTGATCTTTAACTAATAGTCACCATAATTCTCATGAAATAAGTATAAAACCCACATCGATAGATAGAAATTGAACATATTTATGAGTAGGAAAATAAGAAAGGGAAGAAGTCCTATTGATTGTTCTTGTGTGTCAACTGGATAAAATCTCAAGTTATTTTTTACTTATCAATTCAGGTTTTAAAGTCCTAAAGGGTTCAAGGCTATGTCACTGATTTGTGTCTCGATAGAACCCAAACAAATAAGAAAATAACAAAAAGAAACTAGTATAAGAATAGCAATATTAATATTATAAACCCACAATATGAATAATTTGGTCTGATACTATTAATAACATAAAATAAAAATATAAAATATTGTGTGGTGTCTTACATATAAATATGTAGGTGTTTGAGCGAGGCAACCCTCCAAGAATGCCTTATCGCCTAGGTGTCGCCTTGACAACTATGATTGGGACTGATATGCTGGAGTGGGTGGTATCTCTGTTGAAAAGTACACATGCTTCTTTCTCTTGTTGATGCTGATAAAGGAAAAGGAAAAGAACCCATGGAGAAAGAAATTAGTTTTCTTATGATCTGTTGCCCAATGAAAATATCATATCTTTTCAGTGGTTTGCTTTTGGTGAATTTGAATTTTTTTTGATAGGCATTCAATTTGATTTTTTTAAGAGTTATATACTTTGCCTTCTCTCTAAAAAATAGTTTAGTTGGTGTCTTAGAGATAGGTTAATCACGAACATTAAGGGTCATTTGGAATTTTGAGAAGTTGAGGTTTATATCAACATATTTTCAAGGCTTCGTCTCAGAACTTGTAAACTTAACATTGTTTTGAGGGAGTAATGGCAGTTTTACTAATAGGGTGTCAGTTTACAATAGGATTTGAGTCTTTTTTTTCTCTTGGCTTAGTATGAATTATTTATTTCTTTGTCTACTTTTAGCAGGATTAGTAGTGGGTATTTAGAGTTTTTTTTTAGTTAAAAGTGCATTTGTTTTTGACAAGAGGTAAAGTATGATTTTCTTTAGAGAAGAAAAACCTCTGTACAACCAGAGGATGTACAATGGGGAGATACAATAAGAGACTTAGACCACTATCCCTTTTGAGTTTAGAAAAAGATTTTCAAAATAAAAAAGAGAGCTATAACTTGATCTATTCAGATGGGACTGAGCTGCTGGCAAATTGGGTTGTCAGCATGTGGCTTTGTATGAGTTTATCTTACTTTTGAAGCAATTAGAATCATATTTAGTTGGTTTCATTGTCCAAATTGGATTCTGTAAAAGGGAGTTCTGAGCCCTTATGTTGAGTCTGTAAATGAAAGTATTATATTGAAATTTAAGAGCTGATTTAATGAAAGTTGTCCATTCTTCTTCTTTCTACATATTTTCTATATCTTCATCCTTTAAGTTACAATCCTTCTCTTTCCTCCCCCTCTTTCTCTTTCTCTTCTCTATTTCAGATCTGATTTTTTTCTCTCATAGTTCAGATCCTTAATTCTCCCTTCTTTACCCATCATGTACTGCCTAGTAGGACTTTCTTTTTCTTTTTCTTGATTGCCCATACACCTCCAAATTATATATTTTTTGATCAGTATGCACCTCTAAATTGTATTGATCAATGTACAATACATTAATCCTTCCTCTCTTACCAAGGGCCACTAGTCCATGCCCATAAAAGGCCAACCATGTACTTAGGTTAGAATAAATCAAATCAAACACTCTCAAAAAGTAGTATCAAAATGTTCAAATGAAATGCAAGTGGATGCAAAGGTGGTTCACTGGTTCCCTGTTGTCAAAGCACATGAAACAGGCAGAGGGGGTGAATTAGCTTCTGTTAGGTGGCAATAGAGTGGGTCTTTGTATCATTTTCTTTTACTTCATTATGTCTAGATCTATCCAAGCTTATGTAGGGGCAGATTAAACATGGCATTCATATAAAAAGTAGCTGACTTGGAGAGAAATTGATTTTTCTCCCATCGGTTTTCTTTCCTATTCTCTTCTATTCTGTACATCACACCAACAGAATCATATTCTAACTTTAGGACAGCTTCATCCACATATTACACAACATTTTTTTATCAATTCTGGAATGAAAGCCATGATCTTAAGTTGTGTATAGTTCGTCTCTGCACATGAATTATATATGTAAATCTTTCACCATGGAGAATCTATATAATGTCTTACCTTTTTTCAAAAGGAAAAAAGAAATACAAGCACAGAACAACATTATGTTTCATGTATACCAACTAACAGGCCTTTTTTATTTTATTAATTTCTGGCTTTCAGGGTGGACAATTAGCAGCTATTAATCTGGAATCTAAAGCAGCCTTGCTCGCAGCAAGACAGGTAACAAATTGGTGATGTGGCATGCACTAGTGCATATGATTTTTAATGTTACATTTCATGGGCACATGCATTACCTTGTTTAAAATTTTGTTGGAAGATTACCATCAGGACATCTATTGGTCAGCTCATGATATTTGAATACACATGATGCAAGATGCAGAGCCAATCAACATTTTCATTGCTGGTTTCACAGGGTCTGTATCCCTATTCTAACCTGTAACCAGCTTCCCTAGCCTCTCTGCCTATGTCCCACATGTTGTGGTCCTAACAGTGATTACCTTAGGGTGGGTAGCCCCAAACATAATTGTGCTGCAGTTTTATTGAGACGTGAGTTCTGGATAAGTAACCACCAATTTTATTAATTATAAACAGTAAAATGTGCAAAGCTTACAAAATAACTGGTTTCTAATCACCCCTTGCATTACCATTGATCAACCATACAGTTGGCAGACCTTTGTACACATTGGATTTTTTACTTGAGTACTTCTTTTCAGCCATTTAAACTTCTAAGTTCCTCTTCTAAAGGTCCACAAAGCTGTCTCATCATTCAGCAAGCACCCTATCACCACCTTTGAGTCACCCAAGTTCATGCTCTTGCCTGCTGCACACCCTCCAAAATAGCAATCATCTCTGCCCTTAGAGAATGCCATACTCCAATTGGGCCCAAAAACATAGCAATAACATAACTTTTTTCATTCCTAAAGACTCCTACTCCTGAAGATCCTGGATTCTCCATGCTTCTCCAATCCATATTATACTCCTAACTCGCTACTATCAGTTCTTATGGTTGAGTTCTCACATTCTAATTTTCTTTCTAGAGTCATGGTGTTATTAACTTTCTATTTTAGTTTTGGTTTTATTATAATTCGGCCTGCCTTTGAGTTCTGTTAGTCTGATAACAGCCAAGAAGAAAGAAGAAGAAAGAAGAAGAAAGAAGGAAGAAAGAGAGAGAGAAAGGAGGAGAAAAGGAGAGAAGAAAAGTCTGGTTCGAATTAGGGAAAAGATMMTTCTCCCATTCGGCCAGACATGTTTTATATTATTAATATAATGGAAAAGACACATGTGCCCTTATTTAAGTGAGGGACACTAGTTCTAATATAATATTACAGATCAGCAACCTCAACATAAGTATAAAGACAGAAATACCCCTACACTAACACTCCCCCTCAAGCTGGTGAGTATATATTATATAATCCCAGCTTGTTACATATGTAGTCCACTCTTCCCTGACTCAACCCTTTTGTAAATAAGTCTGCCCATTGGTTTCCTGTGTTAACATATGCAGTGTCTATCACTCCATTCAACACCTTCTCTCTCACAAAGTGACAGTCAACCTCTATGTGCTTGGTTCTTTCATGAAACACCGGATTAGAAGAAATACGAACTACAGCCTGATTGTCACAATAGAGCTTCATTGGAGTGTTAATATTGTATTCTATCTCCTGTAGAAGGTTCCTTAGCCATTCACAAGCAGTATATGCCATAGCTCTATATTCTGCCTCTACATTGCTTCTCGCCACGACTGTCTGCTTCTTACTTTTCCATGTCACCAGATTACCCCCATGAAAAGTGCAATAGCCTATGGTAGACCTCCTATCAGACATAGAACTGACCCAGTCAGCATCAGTATACCCTTCTGTTTTCTCTCACTTTTCTAAGCATATTTGGAACTCTTTAATTTTCTTTGAAAGTCTGACAAAGCTTTAAGGGCTATTCAGTAAACCTAACAGATGGAAGTTTATAAATTTATTTGCAAGTTCTCTTACATATTTTTTGAGTCCTGCTTTTTTTTTGAACAAAATCTTTGAGAGATTTTTCTTGATATTTTAGGCTTAACAATATATAGGTAAAATCTGTTATAGATTATGCCAAAATATCAGCGTTGTTTTGATACTATTACAAAAATAACAAGTATTGCCAACTCAACTTATAGTCATCAAATTATGATGATCAATATGTCATCAAATGCTCATATTTATGTTTTTTTCTTCCTTTTGGACAATTGAATATTGTTCCATGTTCAATTTCTGTGTTAAATGAAGATTTCTCATAGTGTAAGCTATGAACAGGGTTTTGCTAGTGCAGCATCAAGATATCTGGGGCTTAGAAGCATAATGATGTTACTTGGTCCATTGTAAGGATTCATTTATTTCAGCCACTACTTTTATCATGCAAATTATCTGCCTTGGAAGCATGATGCTTATTTGTGGTTGTTTATTTTTTTGATAAGCAATACAAACTATTTAATTAATCAAGAGAACACCAGACTGCTCAAGACAAAGGAGCATCTGGCCTTCAATTATTTGTGGTTGTTGCTCTTCATTTCTTGGCTTCAGTGGAGAGATTTGGATTTACTTGGCTATATCATTGTTCAATGATGTAGCTACCTTTTTGGGAATGGGATGCTTATAATGATTTAGATAATATTCCTTGCCTCTGTGGTTATAATCAATTAGGTCAGGTTGAAATCAACCCTAACCCAACCCTAAGTGTTGAACCTCCAACCCCAACCCAACCTGAACTAACCTGAAATTGACTGAAGATTGGGCTTGGGTCAACCTAGAAAATCATTTCTTAAACTCATTTCAACTGAAGACAAAAAAAGCATCCCATTAATCCCACTTTAGCAGACTCTTGAGTCTTGATGAAGAAATTCAAGTAAAAGAAAAACAAAATCAAAATGGTATTAAAAAAGAAGAAAACTTGAATGCTGGATACCTTTTCTTAATACAAGGATAAGCAAAAAATTCTTGATTGCATGACTGGTGTCTGCAACAAAAGAGGGAAGCTCTAACAATGACTGATAGATCGACAACAAAAGGAAATGAGAACTGAAAAAAAATCAGAAATCAATGTTTAGGAACTTACTTCAATGCCCAATTTTAGTTTGAGGACCAATGGGGTGATTGATTGAGATTGGAGATGGTCACCAACTGATCTGTGACCATGAGAACTCACGAACAGGATAGTGTTTTTGGCTTCTGTGACAAGAGGCCAAGGTGGAAACAGCATGGTTGACTGAAAACAGACAAAGCTGTAAACACTTAAGTGAGGAACTATTGTTCAATAGAGGTGTAAATCAGGTCGGGCCGCCTGGCACGCTTTTGGACTGGCCCAGCCCGGCACGGCATGGAGGCCCACGGGTCATGCCAGGCTTGGCACAAAGGTCCATGCCGTGCTGGGCCGGGGGTTCGAGGTCCACGGACCTCGTGCCGGCACGGCCCGCAGCATGACCCGTCACGACCCGTGGGTCCTATAGCGGGCCGAGCACGACCAGACTGGAATATAGTCGTTGGGCCCCCCCCACCCAACAGCTATAAACAACCATATTAGGGGGGTATTTGTGTATTTTGCTTATGGGGGGGTTGAAAAAATGACATAAATGCCCCCCAACAGCTATATAACAACTAGTTTAGGGGGGCTTTTTGGGTAAAGTTATAAATAACTTTACAATGACCAAAATACCCCTCCCAACAACTAAAAAACAGTTAATTTTTAGGGTATTTTGGGCGATTGAATGATTTTCAATTCCTATAAATAGCCCTATCCTCCACCATTCTTCTTATCACACAAATTCAACAATCAACATTCAACAATTCTCTTATTAAGTTATTCTCTTAATCTCTTCAGTCTTTCCTCTCTCAGTCTCTCAGTCTTTCTCAATCTCTCATACATTCTTTGCAATCTGAGTGGACTCTGATATCATAGTCTCTTAATCTGATTGGCTGATTGTCTGATTCTCCAAGTGAGCAATTTGGGAGGCTTGGAGCCTTGGACGTTGTCACGTTGAAAGGCTTTAACCGTTGAAATCAAGTTGGGATTCTGAGCTGGCAATCCGAGGTAAGTCCAATTAAATTAATTTTTATTTTTTAGAATTTGAAAAAAAATGGCCAGCTCTTCCCAAAACCCCAAGTTTAGTAGCCCGATTTGGAGAATATTTAAAATAGAGGATGTTGAGGGGAAGGGGAAAAGAGTAGTTTGCCAAAAATGTAGAAAAGACTTTAGCTATTGTAGCAAGGGTGGTACTAGCCATTTGACCAGACATTTTCTCACACATGAGAAGGAAGAAGAAATAACCCACAATTTAAATGAATTTTTGAAATAATGGAAAATAAATTTTAAAAATATTGGGAGAAGTTGGAGAACATTTCTTGCCGCCAATCCCGCCATGGCACGTGATCCGTGACCTACTAACCCCTCTAGTGTCTACAGGCTACAGTTCCATCGGATCTTGTTTAGTTGTTTTAGTGCAGGACCTGCAGGTACCACACTACCAATATTGGGAGAAGTTGGAGAACATTTCTCGCCGCCAATCCCGCCATGGCACGTGATCCGTGACCTACTAACCCCTCTGGTGTCTACAGGCTACAGTTCCATCGGATCTTGTTTAGTTGTTTTAGTGCAGGACCTGCAGGTACCACACTACCACTATACCAAGGTTGGCTAGATGCAGTCATGAATCATGATGTAGAATATAAATTACAACTTTACAATTACAAGACAAAGGAGGGCATGATACTACTACATACACCGGATATTTCATTTTTCACTTGAAGTAGATGATGAAAGTGTGTGTGAATGCTTTCATTATAATGTATATATTTTTTTGATTAATCACCCATAACTTTCCCCTTTACCCTTTCCCCAAAGTGCTGGTTGCGGGACTTGATTCCGCGTCAATGCTGGAGCAACCTAGCTAACACACCAACGAGCTAGCCCTCGATTGGTTCATCATAATGTATATGAAAATTTTGTTTAAATTGTAAATTTTAACAAATAACCCACAATTTTTTATTTTTTTCAAATTATTGTAAATTTTGTTTTAATTTTATTTAATTTATTTGCTATTAATGTAATTTTGTATTTCCAATTTGTAACTATATAGACTATATTGTATTTTTTTTTATATTTTATTAATTTATTCCATTTTCATATTTCATTCATCCAAGTATGAAGTATCCAACCATTGTATATTTCATAATTTCAATATTTGTATAATTGTATGCTTTGTAATTTGTATCATTATTCATTCAAATTTAAATGAAGTAAAATTCTTAAATCCTATTTGAATTGTTTTATACTTTTGTTTATTTATTTTTTGGGTAATTGTAAATTCGTTATTATACGTATCTTGATATCCATTTAGTTTAGCCTGGTTTGGCCCAGGCCCAAGGCCCGGCTTGTAGCCCAGCCTAGCACGGCCCAAGCCCATGGCACGGTCTGCAACCCGGCTCGGCCCAGGCCCGTGCCATGCCACGGGCCTGGACCATGGGCCGTGCTGAGCCGACCCCTAGAATTTTCGCCGGGGAGGGCAGCACGGCCCTTGACGCCCACGGGTTGTGCCGTGCCGGCCCGGCACGGCCCACTTTACACCTCTATTGTTCAACAACCCAAGGCAACAAGGCTGGTTAATAAACACAGAGACAAGGCCTATAATCAACAAACAAACACCAATGCAACAACTGCAAAGCTGGCCCCACCCTATACATTATATGTTGTAATAATTAAGTATATTGGGCTAGGCTGTCTAAGTGTTGGCTCACTTATGTTTTCTTTATTGTCTTGTGGGCCTAAGCTATATGATCTGTATTAGCCTCAAAATGTGCCTTTATCCCTCAGTTTTTCCCGTACTCACTCTTCTTCAGTGTTATTCTTTAGGGAGTTGCCTGGTTGTTCATGGTGGAAAACTGCAATGGACCATATCATTGTTGAGATTCTATGAACTTAAACTTACTCTGTTGAATAAGAACCTAAACCACATATTATCCAACAAAAAAAGAAGAGCTTTCTTTTATGATCTTGAACTAGACAACCAAGTCCGTATCTCCCCAAGGAGCTTTCTTTTCTGGTAATGCATATTACAATTTCTTATTAAAAAAAGATTCTTATTTGGATAAAACAATTGCAAGTTTGGCTTACTCAATTCACTAACATGAGGACAGATGGACAATAATTAAGACTGGTTAGTCTCAAGTAAAGTGATTGATGTGTGTATACCATTTGCTTACATTTTCCTCTACCGTGCGTACTTTTCCTATGATTTTTTAATTAAACACAATAAGATTGTGTTGTCCCTTGTTTTCTTATGCAGGCTGTGGGGAACATTTCTGGCAGATGTCGTTATTCAAATGCTTGGTACTGATTATGCTAGAATTCTTCGAGCAATTTATGCATTTGCACAGGTAACTTATTCAATCACATGCATTCTTACATCCATGTAGGAGTTAGTAACTGGTGGCCTTGAGGTCTCTATCAATATATCTGGACCATGGCTGACTATATTTTGTGTCAAACCTCATTTTCTATGAGCAGGTAATTTGTTAATATGCCTCATTCTTGCTTGTATTGGGATGGGGTCTATAAGTATCCAGACCCAGTCTGTTTTTAGTCGGGAGATGTTAGCATCAACCCAAGAATGTGGTTGTCTAAAATTCTATCACTTATGATCCTTGTATTTTCTGTCACAAGTCTTTCCCTTGGGTCTATATTGGAGCCAATTGTGTTGGATCCATTTGGTGTTCAAGGATTGAATTAAAAAGTTAATGGAGCATCCATCTATTAAGGTAGTAAATCTGATCAACCGAACCTTGAATGATGAGGTTGGGATCAAGGTTCAGAGTATTGATACACCTCGATACGCTGGAAGGGGTGTATCGGTACTCCGTACCTAACTCGAGGATTTTTTAGCTTTTGTTTTTCAAAAATAGGTTAGGGGTAGGTCTTAGGCCTACCTACCCCCTGAAATGGGTCAAAAGGCCATTTGCCTTGTGTTTCGAGTATTGGACAGCCACCGATAAAATACAATATTCCCTGTATCTGACATATCGTATTGAAATTTTGAACCTTGTTTGAGATGTCATATTAGTCATTTTCTATCTATTTTCCTGCAGTGACAGCTAAATCCATTACTTTTTCTACAGATCCGTATCACTCGCACGTATAGGTTGCCATCTGACAGAGATCAATTTGTTTAATAATCCTGAGAAGTTGCTGTATTAATATTAATGAGAGATTGGAAATCTGGTTCATATTCTATGGTTGATGGCAAGAGGCATCTCACTAATTTTTGTATGCAGATAACTAGTTTAGTGGAAGTTAACCTTTCATATATGTAGCTATGTTATGTTTTATATTAAAGTTTCAGCACATCATAATAAAATGTAAATGCAAGTATGCAATGACACATAACTACATAACTATGTTAACAAATGCCTCCATAGTTCTGGGGAAGTAATAGGATCAACTAGTTTAAGATACTACATATGTAAAATTCTGTTCTATATTTTATTTCTTTGGTAGTCCTGTTGACCAAATGTTGTTCATCTTCACTGTACTGAGACTTGCCAGACTGGCTACTGACACACATTCCACTTAACTGATCATTTTGTGGCTTTGGCTCAGTTTGGAAGGAGTACAAATATAAATATGTACTTGTAGAGTGCAAAACATTGTATTTTGTATTATTTTGTATGTATTTGCACTGTACATATTTGTATTTGCAGTCTTTCCAAGCTGAGCCTTAGCAATTAATTCTAAAGAACATTTGTAAACAAAACTTTTGTCCTCTGAACAAGTAGTTGACTCTCTGTTTGTGTGTGACTCCATAGAGCTGAATTTTACTGCCTAGAAAAAAATCTATATTTTCCTAGAGCATCACAGATAAAAAAAAAGCATATGGCTTATTGTTAGTTTGTCAAGAAGTGGTGCATTCGGCACATTGCACTCCATTCATCAAATTCTGTAATTAGCTGCTTGACATCTTTCTCGAAGGAAAATAAAGAATTGACCATTATTAGCATAATTCTCTATGGCTTAGGCATAATTTGAAACTATGTATCATGCGGGAAACACTGTTAAACAGTTGTTCTTCATAATTTACCTTGTTATGTTTAGTTTCCTAGGTTTTTGTTCTTTACTCCTGGTGTGACTCCATTTTTTAATTGGTAAAAAAAACAGCTTTGTGGGGTTCAGATAAAGGATGTGCATTCAGTATTATCTGTTTCCGTGTTAATGAGCTAGGCTTGCAACTAAAACCTTTTTAGAAACTGTCTAGAGCTCTTGGTTTACATAACATGCTTCTGTCTTGGGAAGCATTCTTGGCATCAACCGAGTTTCTTCTATTCTACATATATGTGGTCGGGAGGTGATGTATGTGCAGGGCTGCTCCCTGTCAGGGTGCTCAATGACTGTTCCTCTGGGTTTCTTCTTTGTTTTTCTATCCCTTTTTTTTTATCCTATGAAGGCATTAGTTCATCTGTGAATTTTTTCCTTGCAATTTTTTCTGCGTGGTGAAATAATTATGTATTTACAGGACCAATGAGAATAACTTTTTGGCACTGTCAATTGTACCTCAGGGTAAAGGATGCGTTTTCCATGCACCAATTTCAGACTCATTATTATCACTACCAGATCCCTAACTTTCTTTTTGTAACAAGATCCACATAAAAACAAATCCAAACGAATTTGGTTAACCTTTCCCCAAGTTTACCATTAGGAGTCAATATTTGCCTTGAATCACATTAAAAAAAACATGAGAAATTTGCACTTCTCCAGATAATGTTTTCTTTCTTCTATTCTTAATTTTCTTTCTTGTTTAGTTCAGTTATGCATTGGAGATCCGTGAGGAGTTCATTTAGGAGTACCTTTCCATGTGTTGCATCATGTCCAGTGCCAGCCCTCTTGCATTGCTTGCTAGGATTCCTCTTAAATTTGTCAAGCAGGGATAAGGGACCATAACCTCAATTACATTTTCACATGATAAGTGATGCATTTATCACTTTGTATATCAGTGTGAAAAATAATGGATTCATCTTGATTCCTGAAATGGTTAAAATTGAAATTCTTGAAACCCTTTGAGATGGTACCCAAAATCCAAAAAGCTAGCTGTGTCTACCTTACTGATTATGGCTTGCAGTGGAGAAGGAAGAAGATTCATTCCATAGGGTATGCTCCCTCGTTAGAAAATTGCTACATTGACCAGGTTCAGAGTCTCTAGGGTTTTGCTTATATTTGCTAGGATATGAGATGCTTCTTGAAGCCTTTGATCAACGCATTAATGTTGCAATAGGACATTTCATGCTTAGTTACACTTGAAATCTAACTGTATATGAACTCTGACATTTAACAGTTTTTGTCAGTTCCAATGAGGAAATGTGTTTGCTCATTTGACTAAAATGAAGATGTATTGTTTTGCCATCACCTGTATAGAAGGTTTCTGGATCTTGTTTCTTTAGAACTAATTTTTGTATGCTTTCTTTTTTTAATTGCTGCACTTTGTCATAGCTCATAAGAATCGTAGATCTGTTGTATAGTGTGATATAACTAGATCACAGTAGTAATGATTTTGCACTGCTGGCATTGCAATTCAAGGAAGTGAGCAATGTTAGTTTTTGTGTAAAAAGGCGATTTGAATTTTTTAGGACGAATTGCATTATTTTGAGAATGTCATGGTGGACAAATTTGAACATCAAGAAACAACAATCTCTCTATCAGGGGCTACACAATGGGGATAGCCCATCCTCTGAAGTCCGAACCATCTCTCCCACCCTGTTGAACGCTGGAATTGATCCTAACTCGAGCCTTTGCTACAACCAGCAAGAGACCTTACCAACTTGGAGGTGTGGCAAATCTTTTCATGCGTTCTTTTGGTCTTTCTCTGTTTGATTGGCAACAAATTCAGAAAGATCTATCCCCTAAAAGGCTCATATAAGTTCAAAATGGCAAAAAATCTAGAAGCTTCAAATGAAGCTTCTTGTATTTCTTCACCTAAAATCTTTCATTTAATAGCTCTATAAATCATGGAAAGCTAGGATACTTATCAAACGGTCTAGATTGTTAAACACAAGGCCCCAAAAGTTCATTACATCTTTTTACTATCTAGGCTGAGAGAAGATATTCCTAAAAAGACTTGCCAAATAGCACCTTAGGCTTTGTTTGGCATCACTACTTATAAATTTTGGTGATTATTTTGATTTTTGGGATGACAATCATGTTTGGTTCAAGAAGGTGATCGATTTTCATTCAAAACGGGATGAAAATCTCTCCAGAAGCATGATTTTGAGAAGTGAAAAAAATTACTTTTGAGAAATGTCAATTCTCCAGAAACACAATTCTCGCTATGGCTTTTTTTAACACGAACATGTATGACTTTGTCACGTGAAAATGGGGGCTTTATGGTAATTTTTGTTAACCCTCAAAATAGCACTTGAAAAAATCCTATCCCCAATTCCATTTATGTTTTTTCCTTGTTCATATTGTTCTCAATGGCACTCTATCAATACCATCAGGGTTGTCATCTTCTTCGGCGCCTGTCGATCTCTTAGGTAAGAAGTCTATTAGAAAAGTGAATAATATCCTTTGATTTAGGAAGGTGTACAATTAGGAAAGTGTATAATATCCTCTGAATTAGGGAGGTGTATAATATCTTGGTAGACTTTCCTTTTCTTTTACTTATTATTGTTAGACTTTCTTTTTCCTTTTACTTATTATTTTTCTGCCCCATAACTTGTATATATATTGTAGCCTTCGGCCCTTCTTGTATATGTTTTCTATGAGAAAGAATTTCTCCCACTAAAAGTTCTTCTCCTTCTCTGAGTTATGCTGTTTTTAGTTATCCCTTTCTTATGGTTTTTATAATTCTGTCTTAATTATTATGCTCTTCGTAGTTTTCTCATGGTATCAGAGTCGTGGTGAGTTTCACCATTGATCCATTTAGTGGGCGTGTGCCCATTGAAGAAGAGGAGTCGTGTGACTCGTAACAACTAGGTTCGGTGTGTGCCGAACCACTTCTTCAATCCAGTCGTATTTCGAGTAACCTCATATCTGAAGCAATGACTGGYAGTAGCTCATCCACCTCTTTCAAGATTCCATCAATTAGTGATCCCATGTCTATGTATTATCTGAGCTCGTCTGATAGTCCATGTATGCTTCTAAGCCAAATCATTCTTAATGGAGAAAACTATCATATTTGGGAAAAGGCCTTTCAAAGAGCTCTAAAATCTAAAAACAAATTGAGTTTCATTGATGGGACTCTAGAGAGAGCTAAGGCGGATGACATTGACAAAAATATTTGGGATAAATGCAATGCTATGGTTGTTTCATGGATTTTTAATTGTGTCGACAAAAGCATACAAAACACTATAATTTCCTTTGATGATGCTAGAGTGTTATGGATTGAATTCCAACAAAGATATCATCAAGGACATGGCCCCTGAATATATCAATTAAAGGGAGAATTAAATGAATTCAGGCAAGGGTCTCTAAGTGTCACAGATTACTATGCTAAACTAAAAGGAATATGGGATCAGTTAGATCAGTATACTAAAATCAACACTTGTGTATGCGGATTGACGTGCAAAACGTTGATCAATATATTGGAAGAAAGAGAGAATGAAAAGGTCTATAAATTTTTAATGGGCCTTGATGATCGATATGGTACTGTTAGATCAAACATTATAAGCATGGACCCACTGCCTTCACTCACTCGCTGCTTTGCCATGATATCAAGAGAAGAATTACAATTGAAGGCAGGGCAGCGCGAAGATCCAAGGATACAAGCTGCTGCCTTTGCAAGCCAAGGTAAATTAGATCAAAGGGGTCAAACAAGAGAAGGGCAAGACTTTGCTGATCTACCCGTAGTTTGTACTCACTGCAAGAGACCTGAATATGACAAATCCCGCTGTTTTGAAATCATCGGGTACCCGGAACACTAGAAGAATCGAAATGAAGGTAAAGCAGGCCGTGGTCGAGGACAAGGCAATGGAAATCGCGGAGGCAAAGGAGCTACGGCCAATGCCATCCAAGGCCGAGCAGGTGTCGTCACTGAAGAAGTGGGAGCATCAAACAACACTGTACAGATGTCGTCCCTCACACAAGCCCAACTTGATCGTTTAATGTCTCTTTTGGGTACAGGTGATTCAGAAAACATGATCCATGATGCACTGTCTGGTAAGAATTTTTCCTTGGTTCGCTTATCGAATTGGATTATTGATAGTGGTGCGTCACACCACGTTTCTAGTAATCTTAAAGCCTTTGAGAATGTTCGAGAGGCTGGAAGGGATGAAAGAGTCGTCATCCCAAATGGAGATTCTTTGAAAGTGAATAAAATAGGGGACATCATGATTAACAGACATATCAAATTGAAAGATGTTCTTTATGTTCCAGATTTTAAATGTAATTTGATATCTTCAAGAAAGTTAAGTGAAGATATGGGTTGTGCTATTACTTACTATTTGAATGTTTGTGTAATACAGGACCCCACCTGGCGGATGCTGATTGGACTGGGTGATCTCAAGGATGGCCT